GCGCAAGAACTGAAGTTTGATCCCTGGTACTGCATGCCATGCCAGCCCCAACACTAGTCATGGTGGTGCATGCCTGTAATCCCTGAGACAGGCAGATCATTAAGAACCCAAACTGTGTAACAAGACCATGTATCAAAAAAAAAAAAAAAAAGGGCCGGGGAAGATGGCTCAGTGGAATAAGCACTTCCCTGGCAAGCGCAAAGCTGAGTTCAATCCCTGGTTCCGCAAAAAAAAAAAAGTTAATGGTTTTATAGCATATGGTTTATGTCTAAATGCACAAACCAGGTAAGGCTGGGGAGATGACTGGATCACAGGTATATGATGCTCATCACGGGGTTAGTCCACTGGTGGGTTATAGCTGTGTGCGATGCTGGAAGTCGAAGCCTGGTGGGAAGAGGTGGCCACTGTGGGCGTGGCCTGAAGGTCCAGATCTCTCCTCCGCCCTTGATCCCTTTCTGCCTTCTGCTGGCCCTGTCCTGAGCTCTTTGTCCTCTGCCAGGCCCTCTGCCCGGCCGCCCTGCCCTGGAGCTGACTCTGGACTGAAACCCCTACAACCTATGAGCCAAATAAACCTCTCCTATTTAGAGCCGTGTCAGGTAGCAGGTCTCAGGGATAAGTACCTAAGACATACAGTAAAACCATGAAAACTGAGTGAGAACCAATACTAGATGCCAGTTTAAAGCCAGGTATCTTTTATTTGGAATTGTATGATTAAAGCCAATTTTCTAAGAACGCAGCCAGGACAAATGTGGTTTTAAAAAGCACACAGATGGGGCCAGGGAGATGGCTCAGTAGAATAAGTGCTTCCCTGGCAAGCGGAAGGGCCTGAGTTCAATCCCCGGTTCTGCGAAAGAGAAAAAAAAAAAAGCACGTAGATGATTCTCAAATATGACTTGGCCACTCTTAGAATCATGAAGAATGACATAAAACTTTCAACACAAAACTTAAATCTATTTTTAAAAAAATCACTTATCAGTAGGTCAAATATCACTCAGCTGGAGAAACGCAATCAATAACAACACTGTAGTCCAAAAAGACTAGTACTTGTTGCTGATTCAGCTCACAATACAACCCTTTCCCAGGCAGCAGCGCTGCCCCTAGAATATTGTGCGGGCACTTTTATGGGCACATCCAAGGCTCACGCGTGTGTGAGCTACGGCCTTGCTCATGCATGGCTTACAGCGAGGTTGGAGAAACAGGAAACACGCAGAAGAGACGGCTCTGTCTGGACACAGCAGTGACTGACACCGGCTGTCACGGGTCGTAACGTAAGAGCCACGTGGTAGCAACTGTGTGCCTTGGCACATTTCCACCTGACACACCACAGGGAAGGTCTTCTTTTATTTGTGGTGCTGGGACGGAACCCAGGGCCTCACACGTGCTAAGCATGCGTTCGACCCCAGCCCCCAAAAAGTTTATGTAGCTTATTGGTATTTGTGCTCATCCAGGTTCTGCTCCGCTGAATTAGAAGAGAAAAATGTAACTCCAAGCCAGCTGTTCCATGCTTGCTGTCCTAAAGGACAGGCTGGCTCATTCACGGTCTCGCGTTCTCCACGGTTCTACATCTGTGCGTCCAGTTCAGAAGCTTCTACTGCTAAAGCGATGTGCAAACTCAGGCAGTGTGTAGACCGCTCCCCACCCGACTTCCGGATCCATGCTGATGAAGTCATTCAGGTTCATTTTGCAGTCTAGAAAGATACATAAAAGAAAAACGTTCTGAAAAATGCAACTCTGCTTCAGCAATGAAGCAACACAAAAGAGTAAAAGTAGGGAAAATTATTCTAACAGATAATGGCTCAACTAGGCGTGGTGGCGCATACATGTAATCCCAGAGCTTGGGAGGCTGCAAGTGGAGAATCACTACGCGTCCAATCTATGTAGTGAGACCCGGTACTGAATATAAATTAAAAAAAAAAAAAATCCAGGAGAAGATTGCAACCACCACCCGGCAGGGCTGCATCCTAGAGCTGCGCGCCGGAGCCTTCGCCATGACTACCCTGCTGGGAGCCGCCAGTGGAGGAGCTCTGGCAGTGTGCACTGTGCCTTTCGCGCTGACCACTGCGGGCTTCACCGCAACCAGGATCGCAGTTTCCTCCGTGGCCGCGAAAATGATGTCAGCCGCAGCCATTGCCAACGGGGGCGGGGTTGCGGCGGGAGGCCTGGTGGCCACCCTGCAGTCCATTGGGGCAGCTGGACTCTCTACATCATCCAACATAGTGTTGGGCTCTGTCGGGGCCGCTATAGGGGCCTTGTTTGGGAATTCAACTACATCTTAAGCAGCCAGGATAAAATGCATCCTGAGTTGAACCTACAAA